AATATTTTAAATCTTTAAATTTTGACAAGGCCGTCTTATTTTTTGGCACTCACCTTCGTCCAACGCATTATTCCGATGCATGCTTGTGCCAACAACAATCGCAGTTTCGGGAACGTTTTCCGCAGGGGAAGAATTCGCGATTTTCGGTATCACAAGAACATTCCTGGATGACCCACTGGTGCAGTGTATCAACAGCTGTTCATCAGTTATCTGCTGCACATGTGCGTCATATTGTACATACAAATACACCTGATATTCTTGCTGCTCTGATACTTGCTGAAAAAACGAAAGAATGTACTTCAAAATTTTTCAGGTGGATAAAAAAATTCACTGATCCGCAATAAAAAATCTTAACCTTTAGTACTGCACATCTAAAAAATGAGTTATAGTTAAATCCTCTTATATAATGTACTAAGGTGGGTGGCAAAACTGTGTTTAATTGTATAGATACGTCTTCTCACGTACAAGTACGATGAATGAAGAGCACTTGTAGAAATTGAGATATTATCGTCAATTTCAATAGTTTATGCATTAAAATCAATAATAAAATATTACAACATACAAATACTATACTGTATATAAAAGATCTTTCAAAAAAAATTCTTGCTTTAGATGCGCCTTGAATATACAATAACAGCAATGATGAAGACCTTTCGGAGAATGTTTTCTAAAAGAGTTTCAAAAATTTTTCTTCATTTTTCTTGTGGAGTTAAGAAATGTCCTCTGGAGCTAAAATGAGCTGGAAGACATATATTTTAAATGCATACAACGGTAATAAAAATAAATATTTGAAGTAAATTGGAGAATACTATAGTTAAATTGTCCAGATTAATTGTGTTTATTCAAATTTTATTCTTTGTTCCAGTTTTATTATTGTAGGATTGATTTTTATTTAGACCTTAAATAAAATCAACAGCAGAGTGGCGCAGTGGAAGCGTGCTGGGCCCATAACCCAGAGGTCCGTGGATCGAAACCACGCTCTGCTATAATTTTTTTCCAAGCTTGAATCCGAAATTCTCGAGCTTCTTCCATGACCGGAACATACATGAATCAAACTCGTAAAATATGGACCGTTTCACAAGAAAACGTTTTTTTTTTACATGATCCTTTCTTTCCTGAAAAAGTTCAGAAGATATTCTGTAAATAATGTTGAACTTCCTAACAAAAATTTCGAACCTTTACGTGCATATCTCTTCTGATTCTAACACTCTTCGGCAAATAAGCCGAAAAAGTTCACGTCAAAAATAAAGACGCGCAGAAACGAACTGCCTTCAGTGCGTTTTAAACTTTTGCCTGTGACTAACGTAGTGTATTTTAGAGCCATTTATTTTTTTTTTTTTACGCTGAAAAAAAAAACTCACCTGATTCCTGTTTTTGCTGATGATGCCGCAAGAATCAACGGGAGCCTCGATGATCGCATACTCGGTTCCTGTATCACTATCAGCACTAATAACTTGTCGTCGACGTCGACGCCGACGTTGTCGCATTCTTCGTCCCGAAGCATCAATCACCGAATCATCATTATGATTATCATGATCATCGATGACGACGACGAGATGACGATGAGTCTCATCAACGTGATTTCTCAGACTGTTGATGGTCGGATCCGTGGCAGCAACAGGAGCAACAAACGCTTCTTCCTCGTCATTTTCGTAATAATCAAATGTTTTCGGTGCGATTTTAGCCTCGCATTCGGGATTTCCGTTGAAACCGCGGGCATACACTTTTCCTTGGAATGGTTTCGGAACTTCGGCTCGAATCCGGAAAATCCCCTTGTCACATTTCGTCCGAATGGTTTCTGAAAATATTTAAATTACCGGTATATATCTTAATTATGACAGAAAAGCGGCATTGAAAATTCATGATGTCAATTCCGAAGCTTGAAATATGCTGAACCACGTCAGCAAGGTAGAATTATGTAAAGGGAGTCGAAAACTCCAAACATTTATTACGTTTCAAAGCATCGTGGAAAAATACGAGGAATTTTCCGACTCAAAATTGATGACGAAGACGTCAATAAGATTATTCCGAAAAGATTTTTTGAAGCAAAAAGGTGAAAAAGCATTTAAATTTGTTCCTTCATGATGATCCTTAGAAGAACGCCATCTAAAATTTGAATTTTGGAGAGGTGATCAGCTTATTCACAAACAAAAGTGAAGTGGCCTTTACATTTGTTGGGGAGAAACTTACCTCAACATAAATTTGATAGAAATTTGCAGGTGGATCAAATTTGTAAATTAAACTTTTGAATTTGTCAAAATAAAAGACAGAATCAGCCTGGGACTAGGCCGGGGAACCTTTTGGTTTCCCTAATTAAAATTGATTGAATGTATTAGATTGTGAGAAGCCGTTTATTCGGCTTTTTCAAGTGCAGTTTTTATTTCTGCGCGTCTTTGCTTGACGGAAGTCACGCAAAATTTGAAAACGGACACTGATTGCATCACATAAAATCTCGGTAAATGTTTTTTTTTTGACGCTGAAAAAAAACTTACCTGATTCCTGTTTTTGCTGATGATGCCGCAAGAATCAACGGGAGACTCGATGATCGCATACTCGGTTCCTGTATCACTATCAGCACTAATAACTTGTCGTCGACGTCGACGCCGACGTTGTCGCATTCTTCGTCCCGAAGCATCAATCACCGAATCATCATTATTGTGATTATCATGATCATCGATGACGACGAGATGACGATGAGTCTCATCAGCGTGATTCCTCAGACTGTTGATGGTCGGATCGGTGGAAACAGGAGCAACAAACGCTTCTTCCTCGTCATTTTCGTAATAATCAAATGTTTTCGGTGCGATTTTAGCCTCGCATTCCGGATTTCCGTTGAAACCGCGGGCATAAACTTTTCCTTGGAATGGTTTCGGAACTTCGGCTCGAATCCGGAAAATCCCCTTGTCACATTTCGTCCGAATGGTTTCTGAAAATATTTAAATTATGAATCTTAATTATGACAGAAAAGCGGCATTGAAAATTCATGATGTCAAATTCGAAGCTTGAAATATGCTGAACCACGTCAGCAAGGTAGAATTATGTAAAGGGAGTCGAAAACTCCAAACATTTATTACATTTCAAAGCATCGTGGAAAAATACGAGGAATTTTCTGACTCAAAATTGATGACGAAGACGTCAATAAGATTATTTCGAAAACATTTTTTTGAAGCAAAAAGGTGAAAAAGCATTTAAATTTGTTCCTTCATGATGATGTTTAGAAGAACGCAATCTAAAATTTGAATTTTGGAGAGGTGATCAGCTTATTCACAAACAAAAGTGAAGTGGCCTTTACATTGGAGAGACTTAGTTTAAAATTAAAATGCTCCTAATATTCGGCCGCTTTAAGTAAAATTTCCTTGTACACAGTTCGTGCATTCCATTTTTAAGATGACAAATTGAGGATGTTCCAACAAGAATATAAATATCATTGGGAATTCTATGGAAAACACATGGAAAAAAACACAACTGAGCGTGGTTTCGATCCACGGACCTCTGGATTATCCATCCAGCGCGCTTCCACTGCGCCACTCATCTTGTGTACGGATTAAAGTAAAGAAGACAAAAAATAAATTACAAATTTTGAAAATCTGAATAATAAGCTTCAAGCAATATTTCTTTTTCAAGATTTGAAAATCATTTCTTTGTCCACTCCTATATCAACAAACTGTACAAGGCTGCTATATACACATAATTCCGTTTTTAATAGATTTAATAGATGTGAATAAGTCTTGAGCAATATTTCTTTTTCAAGATTCGAAAATCATTTCTTTGTCCATTCCTATATCAACAAGTACTGTATACAAGGCTGCAACACATAATTCCGTTTTTCATGTATGGGAATTATGCTCAGTTCATCAGTAGAAATCTCTGATACAGCAATACAACATTTGACCAGAAACACACCAGTTGGAATTTATAAAAAAAAAGCAAGATATTGCACAAAAATGGCATGCATGTTTAGACAAATTTAGGATGTTAAAGAGGCATGCCTGTTTAGGATGACAAATTGAGGATGTTAAAACAAAAAATATATATCATTGGGAATTATATGGAAAACACTTGAAAAAAAACACAACTGAGCGTGGTTTCGATCCACGGACCTCTGGATTATCCATCCAGCGCGCTTCCACTGCGCCACTCATCTTGTGTACTGATTATGGTAAAGAAGACAAAAAATAAATTCCAAATTTTGAAAATCTGAATCATAAGCTTCAAGCAATATTTATTTTTCAAGATTTGAAAATCATTTCTTTGTCCACTCCTATATCAACAAGTATCAACAAGTACTGTGTACAAAGCTGCTACACATAATTCCGTTTTTGATAGATTTAATAGATGTGAATAAGTCTTAAGCAATATTTCTTCTTCAAGATTTTAAAATCATTTCTTTGTCCACTCCTATATCACCAAGTACTGTATACAAGGTTGCTTCACATAATTCCGTTTTAAATAGCTGGGAACTATGCTCAGTTCATCAGTAGAAATTTCTGATACAGCAATATACAACATTTGAACAGAAACACATCAGTTGGAATTAAAAAAGCAAGATATTGCACAAAAATGACATGCATTTTTAGAAAAATTGAGGATGTTAAAAATGCATGCCATTTTTAGGATGAAAAATTGAGGATGTTAAAAAAATTATTGGGAATTCTATGGAAAACACGTGATAAAAACAGTGTTTTTAATTCTTATTGTTATTTGAAAATAATTTGCAGTAGAGAATAATTTTTGGGTGAAGAATTATTCCTTTCATAATTTTCTTCTTGTTTTATTGATGTGATGAGAATTGGGGTAATCATCCCCCCAGCACCTACTATTAGGTGTCTATTCCTTTTCAGATCATAATTCCAAAAATCGACCATTATTTGTGTGTTTACATTTGTTTGGTCCCCCAACACTAGAAATTAACAAGTGGGCTTTTTATTTTTGAATTGCATGAAAAAACTTCTTTTTTGTAACTGTATGTTGTACATATTATGCATTTTTCAGATAATTATTTGATAAGTTTGGATTATTTGGAAGGTTCTCTGTATTTCTGGGATGGATGGGGGAATTTCATCAACAATTTCAGTTGTGTCTTGCTTGGATTTTCTATTTATTTTGTTTCAATTTTGATCATTGGGAGGAGGCTACTGCTTCTGTCTTTTTCTGTTTTTTTTTTTTTTTTTTTTTTTGTTGCATTTGGGTTGTAAGGGTTTCGTCATTGGACCCATGAGATATTTTCAGAGCAAATTTATGCCCATTTGACAGATGATCATGATTCTGGTTATAATGCTCCATTGATTTTTGGTAATGATCTCACATAGAATGTTTGCCTTTTTGTGGCTATGGTTGAACATGGATGTGTCAAATGTCCTCTTGGGACAAGCTCAAATTTGTTGTGGATGAAGCTTTGAAGATTGGTCTACACAAAGACTTGGGTTTTTTGTTTTTAAATTGCCATTTCTTTAATCCTCTTTCCCAATAATACACCAAGTGGTATATAGTACCCAGGTTTGTTATAAATCTCAGAATATATGAGGTTTTCAAATTTGACTTTGCATACACTTGTTGTTTTTGCTGTTGAAAAATAAGCCTGCGCTAAATTTTTCCAATTTTTGCATTACAACAAATGATAAAATTGAGTTTATTGGAGTGCATGGTTCTGCTTTACTAAAAACTTTAGTAAAATCGGTATTTAAAAATAATCTCACTGTAATCCACAACCAAAACACTACCAAATTTTGTCGAAAAATTTTTAACTCAACTAAACCCTAAGTGTAAACGTTCATGGACGGAGCTGGTAAATACTCCCCCCAGTTACAATGCTCATTTTCTAGTGATATTATTTTTCCATTGTTACTTGTTTTCAGGAGAAATCTTAGTGTATGCTTAGTAGGGGGGGGGGTTCTTGCACAGGTGCTTAAATAGCAATTGCACACTTGAATGTTATGAAACTTTTCAGCTCTCATTTTTATTGAATTTATTTGCAATTATTTCAGCTTTTACTTGAGCCAGAGCACTTCAAAAATTTCAATTTATGAATAATCAGAAGGAATTGAAAGCCTAAGCAAGGCTAACTGATTCTGCATTGATTTCAGAATTTTTGATACAAAATTTCATTGAATGTAACAAATGCGAATGATTGTGAATCATTGTGATCCAGATTATGTGGATGATATACAGTCTTTTAAAGACAGGAGATCAATTATTTCAGCTTTTACTTGAGCCAGAGCACTTCAAAATTTTCAATTTATGAATAATCAGAAGGAGTGGAAAGCCTAAGCAAGGATAACTGATTCTGCATTGATTTCAGAATTTTTGATACAAAATTTCATTGAATGTAACAAATGCGAATGATTGTGAATCATTGTGATCCAGATTATGTGGATGATATACAGTCTTTTAAAGACAGGAGACACATTCATTGGGCAGAAAAGACAAAGCTTTATGAAAGGTTATGCAATGCATTGAGCTGGAAGCCAATGAATAAAAAATTTGAGAGACATGAGATTTCATTTTTCAACAAAATATATGCTGATGCCCCCATTTTTTGAATTAACTCAAAGGCATTCAAAGCCATTGAAATTTGAATGGGGGTGATTGTTTGATTTACATATTTCCACAAAGGTGGATTACATCACAACTTCACAAGTTCAGTTTCAACATCTTCAGCTAGGTTTGAATTTTGTTCAATACAGATGCTCATGAAGCAATTTTCTTTCATTATTTTAATTTTTATTTTTTGAAAATTGTAACTGATGGTGAATAGAAGTAGCATGATTGTCTTATTGCTTTTTGAATTTCTGCTGAATTCATTTGCTCTTTAGGATTATGATGTTATTTTTCACTTGCAGAAAATTTTAGTATCATTTGATTTTTTCATTCACAGCTGTTGAACATAGAGTTTTTTAAATTAAATACTGACATATATAAGGCTGCATCCATTCAACAAAAAATCCAAAAGTGGGAATGCACATGAACACATGGAATTCACTATTGAAATTCAATTCAAGGAAGGAATGCACACATAAAATCACATTGAACACACAGTAAAAAAAATAAAATGTGGGAATTTGGAAGATTCAAGAGAGCAGAAAATTAATCTTCTATCAATTTTTTGAAATTTCACTCTTTCATGGAATTTTCACATGGTTTGAAATATTTTTCATGGCAGAAAAACAAATGCTTTGATCAATTTTCGATTAGGATTTCACAATTTTTTGAGGAAAAAATATGTTAATTTATTTGAAAAATTTAAATTGATTCCTGAGTTGATTTGAAGAAAGAAATATGCCATGGACCTTTAACTTACAGCTCTGCTACCATTTTTATGTTGGGGAGAAACTTACCTCAACATAAATTTGTTAGAAATTTGCAGGTGGATCAAATTTGTAAATTAAACTTTTGAATTTGTCAAAATAAAAGACAGAATCAGCCTGGGACTAGGCCGGGGAACCTTTCGGTTTCCCTAATTAAAATTGATTGAATGTATTTCAAGATTTGTCCCACAAAATAACACAAAAAGGTATTCTTTTTGGAAATTGCAACACTCAACAGAACTCCAACAGAATATTCATGAATTTCGCGAGTTTCACAACAATCTGCACTGTTCAAGGGTTCGATTCGAAGTGAAGTTTTTGCCGTTTTCCATGGATTGGGGAAACAGAAATTGATTTCTGGTTTTTGGTGAGTTCCTTCCCTTTGAGGGTTGGAACTCTTATCAAGATTTTTGCGCGGTTTTTTATGTAAGGGTATTCCTAGTGTTTGGCGTGCGGCGCGGTTTTTTATATGATAACTAGTTTTTGCGTGGCGTTTCCCCAACAAGATGAATTGCTTCTAGAAAGAGACGTTTTTCTTGTCTGGCAAAAGTATCTTTTATTGAATTTTCCAAAATTAGGATAACAAGATTTTAATATGGAAATCAGAATTTGAAAAGCTATTGTCAAGGATGCTGTGGTGCCAGGATGTTCCTGGCACTGCAATTTTGAGGAGGGGGGAAACGTTTCTAAGAATTATAAGTACACTAAAGTATTTTATTATACACGGCATGCATGTCCAACAACGTTATGGCTTTTGGTTGGGTGCCTAAAAACACAAATTTGTTGTAAACAATAATTGGTTACATAAAAAAATTTCAACATGATCCTACATATTTTCCTACAACGTTTTTAATGGGACATCTAAGAAAAACATAAGTGTGTTGGAAAGATCACCTTTGATGTTCCAGTTTGGTTTGTCATTCCTAAAAAAAATAATTTTTACATAATTTTGTTTTATTTGTCTTTGAAAAAGCCTATAATAAATACAGTTCTTTAACCTTTCCAGTAGTGATGAATTCCATAATGGAGTTTATCATGAATTAATGTCTTCCATTTGAAATAAATTTTCATGCAAATCGTTTTTATGCGTACAATTTTGTTCTAGCGATTTTATCTTTGACAGATAATTAAATGCGCCATAATACGGTACTTTATTTATTTCAAAATTTTACGATTTATTTCGTGTCTGAAGAAACTCGCGACGATGACCATGAAAAATACGGAAATATCGTTTTGCAACTACTGTAGATTGAAATTCTGCCGAATATTTCTCATTTCAGAAAACAGCTGCCTGATGGGATAGGAAAGACTATCTATTTATCTTTTTCTCATCTATACGATAAACTTGAATTTTCTTACCAAATCTGAAAAATCTATCATATCAGCAAAAATAAATAAAAACGCTTTCGTTATGCCATTATCGTCTGTTTTTCCATCGGCTCTGTCCCTGTGTCGCTCGCCTTAATTCCCATGTCCCCCACGAAAATTTCATTGCCAGCCAGCTGACGCATTGCAAGCATATGACGCAAATAAATAAATAAAATAATAAATAAATATGTAATAGACAGCAGCAGCACCAGACATGAACGTCGCGGTTTGCCATGCTTTTTCTGTTGTTGTTGTTGTGCAATAATGCGATGAAATGCCTCATCGCAGTCAGGCCTGGCTGCTCTTCGCGACGATTTTCTTTTTGACTCGTGGTCGCAATTCTGTCAGTTGGCCAATTGCGAACCAGACATTTTAGCTGGGTGGAAAAAGGGGGGGGGGGAGATTAGACATTTTGCGAAAATTTATGCGGTTGTGTGATTTTGGAAAAGAATTGTGGGAAATTAGAAAGTTTCTCAATATATATATAGCACAGTGTCATGGTGTAGAAACTGATTATGAGGATCTGCAAGAAGGCACAGAATGGGCTGGGATAAATATTACACATTTTAAGCTGCAAAAAACACATTCCAGATGCAAGAGACATGTGAGTGCTGAGTCTAAAGATTTGCTGTCTCTGTTGAAGTATTGAAATATTTGTGATTGATACTGCTTTACCTTCATGTGAAATACAATTTGTTCTTGTCTTTTGGTATTCTACTGAGAATCCCCTGCCCTGTTCCTGAGTGGATTGTTTGTTCTCATTTATTTATTGCTTAAATATTCATTCTTTGTGGGCCTTTGCCCAACAGCAGTTACCCAGCCTCCAGAGGAATTTAAATTAAAGTGCAAAACTATACATTCATGGTTGCAAAAATAAAGGAAACTCACTCCTTGGATGTTAAAAGAGGACTTAACGGTGGTACCTTGCAATTTGACCATCCTGCAATTTGACGGTCAAACTTGCAGGGAGTTTGACTTGCTATTTGACCATTGCCCTGCAATTCAACCTGCTTTGACCAATTTTTTTACATTCTTGTACTGATATTTTTTTAAATTTAATACAGCGTCTTGCAATTTGACTGCTTTGCAATTTGACCCTAGCGTGGCAACCAATTAGGGTCAAATTGCACGGTACCACCTGTATTATTGTCTCTGATCACAGGTATCAAAATACACAACCACACACACAATCAGCAAATACAATTGCTTCCAAATGTAAATAATAAGACCAAACAAAAACTGATTTGCATATGGTGCAACGCACAACATGCAAAATCACAAAGCGCATAACCCTAGCATGGCAACCAATTAGGGTCAAATTGCAAGGTACCACTATTATTGTAGGTACCAGTGTGAAGAATAAATGTATTAAAAAGTATTTTAGATGAATAAAACACAGCAATCAGCCGAGCTGCGGCCGGGGTGAATAACACCCTAGTTTAAAGTTGTTATATCCCTTCTGTAGAAACACTGTATTCATGCATTCTACATGTAAGATTTCTAGATTATTGCAATGTCGATGTTCCATACACAAGAATCAGAATTTTCTATTTTTTCTCTAAATTTCAAAAACACCAATGTGCACCCTACATAGGTGTGCATAGTATTTGCATAAAGTTCTGTCACACATGTGAGATCACTTTTGCTGTAATTAATCAGAGTACAGCAGATTCTTGTTTTGGAAAAATCTTAATGCAGTAAAATTTCATTGCAATAAATCACATCATAAGGTCTTGAAGCTTATTACAAATTCATTTTTCAAGTTCCTGCCTGTGAAGAATAAATGTATTAAAAAGTATTTTAGATGAATAAAACACAGCAATCAGCCGAGCTGCGGCCGGGGTGAATAACACCCTAGTTTAAAGTTGTTATATTTCTTTTGTAGAAACACAAGTCCAAAAATATGTGCAATATTAACCAAAATCACAACACCCGATGTTGCTTGTACAAAGGTAACCATCAGACTGACTCTCAGAGCATACATTTAGAGACCAGGAAAACATCACAGAAGGCCAGCAAGAGATGGCCTTTCATAGATAAAAGAGGAAATGCCGAAATGATTGACCTTGGAGGTCAGAGAGGAATGTCTCCTTGAGGAGAAGGCTATGTGAGTTTTGGTGGCCTTGGGTTCCCACGAGATTAGCAGGAGGATGAGTTTGGCGCCAGCCAAACTCATCCTCTGATTCTTATAAAATTTGCAACATAAACCCCCCCCCCTTTGTTTTTGAGAAAGAGGTTAACCTTTTTTGAAGAAACAAAGAACATTTAGAGGTAAAATCCAAGGCACCAAAACAAAAGGAATGGATGTTTAAGGAAGAGGAAACAACAAAGAAAACACAGTCGTAAAACGTAACCCAAGCAGAAAAGAGTCACTATTTTTCTTCTGCTGAAAAGTGCTTCCTTGGAAAAGTGCAGCTGTTGAAGTTTGTTTTTATTTTGATGGAGGTCGTTCCAGGCAAGTCAGGAGGGGATCCATGTTGGTTGTTGGCTCCTGTTTTGACTCACTTTGAGTTGCTTCCGCTTTTTGTTTGGAATTGGTCGTCTTTTGGTGATCCCAGTGTCTTTGCGCTTTTTCCTCTCTTGATAGGTATAGAGTAATTGAGTGATTAGATTTTGAAATACATTCAACCAGTGTATCTAGACTAGAAAAGAGGGCTGGCCAGGCCCAAAAGATAAAATATACTTCCTCGTCGACGGAGAGTGTGGCTGTCCTTTTGATTTGTTTCCTTGTTGGCTAGCTTTGTCCGCGGTAAAAATAGATTGTTCTTTTTCCTTTGAATTTGGCCACCCACCAAACCATAATAGAACCATAGATTGTGCGTAACAGAGTGTAACCGGTTTTTTATTTTCCGAGCTGATAGATTAGATACGGAATTTCCTCCAATAGATTAAGATGATTTCCTTTCCACAAAGTGAAATGGGTTTCATAGTTCCGAACCAAGTTAGAGTAGATTTTTGTCCATAGATTCCGTATCAAAAATAGAGTAGGATTTCCGTCCGTAGATTTCCATACCAAAAATAGAGTAGAATTTCCATCCGTAGATTTCCGTACCAAAAATAGAGTAGAATTTCTGTCCGTAGATTTCCGTGCCAAAAATAGAGTAGAATTTCCGTCCATAGATTTTCCGTTCCAAAAATAGAGTAGAATTTCCGTCCATAGATTTCCGTGCCAAAAATAGAGTAGAATTTCCGTCCATAGATTTCCAATTCTTATAAAATTCGCAACAACCAGTATTATTGTCTCTGATCACAGGTATCAAAATACACAACCACACACACAATCAGCAAATACAATTGCTTCCAAAAATAAATAATAAGACCAAACAAAAACTGCTTTGCATATGGTGCAACTCACAACATGCAAAATCCCAAAGCGTATAACTCCGCAAATTTTGGACTTACAAAAACCAAGAAGGTCTTAAATATGAAAGCTAAAGATGTTCTCCAACTTTTCTCTAATCAACCCACTTTTTATTTGTGATAAAAATCTGGAAAACCTTAATGGCAGATTCTCGTCTCATTGATGCACAAGCTCTTGGAGCAAACAGTGACTTCAAAAGCCTTGCTCCCTAATGCATGAATGAATTTATTTCTGAAACAAATGAATGTTGTGCAAAATTGAAACAGAAAATGACCATAAATTTTCATAACCCTGAGTCCCAGCTGAACAGAAATGTGAATTTTTTCAATCTTCCTTCCAAGATTTTGATGTAGTTTGTGTGTAAGAAAGTTTCAACATCAATTTCCTGATTTTGGCGTAACTGGAAGTTGCGATGTTCATTCTTGAAATTATTTGCTGATTTCCCAAAAACTATAGTTTCAAAAAATGGTCCTCGTGAACATGATTCGGAAGATGAGAAAATTATGATGCAATGAATAATTTTCGGAGCATCATTTCTGCCCGAATCCCAGGTTTTCAGCATTTCCAGTTCTCGAAGTACTGCATTTGTTACTTGTGAATGCTGGCGTAGACTTTTAAAAATATTTTTCTTAGATTACACCAAGTATACGTTTTTTATTCGTTTGGGAAACCACAAGCCGGAAACCGAGTTTCAGGAAGTGATTTTCAAAGACTTCGCTGAATATTGAGAAACTTCGCGTATATGCAAATGTTTTTGGTGACCCAGCTCGGGTCGCGTCACAATTTCACTAGCTAACCTTCACGGAAATGAACCAAAGACTTGAAGAAACCATCATGTGTTTTCTTACGAAAATCCGTGAGAAAATTGTTTCCACAGCTAATGCGAAAAGTTTTTTGCGGATTTCCTAATTTTTTTTGGTCAGCTTTGTTCACCCTCCAAAACAGACGATCTCGAAATTCTAGAGATGAAACATTGAAAAAAAATGCATCGACGTAATTAATTGCACGTTTTTTGGGGGAGACCTTTTAAATCTCGTTATTCCTGGTAAGAACCATGCCTTCTGTCCGAACATTTCCTATCCAAATTCTTGCCCCCGGAAATAAATGTACAGCGAAACTTTGTGAGGCTCTCATTATATAAAAAAAATTTAAAATTTTTCAGCATTTTCTGCAAGTAGAAATAAATTATTTTTAAGAAAGCGAAGTTAACATGAAAAAAGGTCGTTCAGGCTCTGTTATGAAAATGCATCCAACTTTGATCATTCAGATGATTTTGTTAAGGTGCAGAATTTAAATAAAATACCAAAGTTTTGTTGTTCATATTCCGTGGTCGAAAATAATCGTTAGACATACGTTTTATCGCGTTCATGATGTCGTTACTTAATTTTTTGGCGAAAATCTGGGGAATTCGGTTCAGTACTATTGTTTTTATTTCATTTAGGTTCAGTATTTTCGAAAGAAAATGCAAACACTTTTTCAAATGGATTTATTTCAAGAATGTTTGTTCCGTATTAAAAATTTCATTTCTTGTTTCAAAACTCTGCCAATAAATTTTGGAACTTCACTTTCAAATACCCCCCCCCTCATTTTTTTCATTATTTTCGATGTAAATTTTTCTTTTTGCGTGCACATTATTGGCATAGGATTCAGAAATATTTAAATATTTTGAAGAAATTTCTGTGGCACGTTCCTCCGTCCTTTTTAACGCATGATTTCTCACCACTATTGAAAATCTTGAAAAAATTAAAAAGATGAAACGTGGTAGAGATGTTTTCTCGGCGTGTCCTATTGCTTCCGAGGGAAACGTTGGGTAAATGTATGAATAACGGATTCGAAGTGTTTATGGGCGTTACACCGGTGTTTTCAGGGATGTGACCGTGGTGCAATTTTCTTTTCTTTTTTTTTTGTACCGATAAAGGAAGGGATGGTTGAAAAAAGAGAGAAAAATAATCTCTCTGACCCCCTTGGTGGTGATGAAAACCCGGATGCAGGCACTTCGACCCCATGGCCAAGGTTAAACACTTCCTATGGCTTGATGAGCGAAAAAAAACGGGGTTTCAGGTATTCATTGCCAAGGTCAAACTCGAATTCCGAATAAAGAGGGGTTCATTTTTTATTTATATTTGTACGATCAGGTCAATGTTGGAGTTCGAAGCATATGTTCCACGTTTGAAAAAAAAAGGATTTCGTTAATTGATTTGAAATGGAAAAAATGGATTCCGTTAGATGTTTATTTTTCTCGTTCTCCCCAATTTTTAAATCAAGTGTATTTGAATCTCAGAATTTCGGAAATCTGAGAAACGAAAAATCGAGATCGAATTTTCGATGATTGTATTTTATAATTTATCACAGTTTCTCTTCAGCGGATAATTGTTTCAATTGCAAAAATGATCCAAACTTCAATTATTTTTATATTTTCGTACCGTTTTTATTTTTGTGCGATTTTTTAAAGCCATATTTCAGATATTCTCTTTTTTTAATTCCATGAAATTTGTGAAAAAGAAGCCGCGTGTCAGTTGATGAAGTTTTCGAGAGAAAATTTTCTTTAGAATTTGAAGTATACGAAATTAAAAATCGGGAGAAAAGCTGGAATACAATTAAGTGAAAATAATCCAGATCTTCATCGGAGAAAACCTCGTGAAATTCGAACCAAAAATTCTTGGGAAACCTCCGGCCATTTCTCATCCTGTATGAAAAAAAAAATTCAGTCAATCAGAATACGACATTTTATGCGCATCATTTTTTAAATCGTAATACCATAAATTCAATGAAAACCTTGCTCCCATTTTCTTGGGGGGAAATTGTTTTATTTTAAATGCCGAATTCCATCACGCGTTTTTCTGCGATAATTCATGCAAACAACATCGACGGCTTCTCGACAAGATGTGAATTTTCAATATTTATAATTTTAAAAATAAAATTCTGAAGCACATCAAATGTATGGTCAACATCCTATTCCGCAATTAAATTCTTTCTGTACGAGTCGTTTGCCTTCGAAAGCAAAGTATGAAATGCCAATAAAACAGGAGAAAATTGTTACTGTTTTTCCACTTTTCAACCGAGAAAAAAAACCAAATTTTTGAATAAAATAACGAAAAAAAAAAGAAAAAAAAACGCGCGCTGATTTCAATGATCTGTCATATACCGTATTTTTCTTCTCGCCGTCTACGGTTTTTCCGGGGACTTTAAAACTTTATTTAAAAACTTTTCAAATACGCGAATGCCTCGCGAAATATTCTCATATTCTTCTTTAATTTTTTTTATTCTTCTCTTGGCTGGCTGTTTTGTGAATCCGGTTTCACCCATTGTCAAGGCTATTTTTGAGCATAGAAAAAGGGTGGAAAACGATATCGACCTTGCCCGTATATACTTTATTCTTTTTCCGATGAAATTGTTCCCTATACAGGGTGCTCATATTTCTCATTTACCTATTCATATCATATTTTACCTTCCTGGTGAACCTTATTCTTTCCGGGTCGCCGGGAGAAAAAATGCTTTGGTCTCGTATTCGGACGTTGGCCGTTTTCGGGTCAACATAACGGGAACATTTCCTTCTTCTTGTTCCCAATCGTATGTGAAAAATACCGTGTTTCCATGGTATTTGGGTGCAGTTGAAAGCTGGACTGTGCGAGAGATACGTTAGTTTTTTTTTTTAATCTGGGGTGATCGACTTCACAGTGTTTTCGCGAAATGAGGCGAATTTCCTGCTGT